ATACATATACATATATATATATATATTTGCTATTGTTTATAGTTACAAATTTGGGCAAAATTATCCTTACAGACAAGTAGCCATATTTTCTAACCAAAGACAAGAGTAATGTTTATGTAGCTCTGTATTACAGGGAATCTGGGATATATCATTTGAATGCCAAAATGATAGAATTACTGAGATGACAATGAGAATCAATGAGATGACAGTATATCATCATTTGTCCTGAAAAATCTAAAATGTACAGCAATTTATTCTTCCTATTATATTATCACACACTATAAGTAACAGTATAAATTGGCACATTTCTGCTGGAATACAGTATAGGAACAGGTATTCATTCATTTACCAATTATTTACTAAGTTTTATACTGTGTGTTGAACCATGTTCTAGGATCTAGATATGTAACAGTGAAATAACAGATAAAGCACCCTGACCTCACAGAGCTTAGTAATGGGGCTAATTAAAACCAGCGACTCAGCAGCTTCACTTCTAGAAATTAATCCTAAAGAAATAATCATGAATATACAAAATAATTCAGTTACAAGGATGTTTATCATTCTGAACTTTTTTTAAGAGATGGGACTCACTTTATTGCCCAAGCTGGCCTCAAACTCAAGTTTCTTCCTGCCTTAGTCTCTCCTGAGTAGATGGAACTACAGGTGAGCACCACCAGACGCAGATTGGTTTTTTTTTTTGGGGGGGGGTGTTTGTTTTTTGTTTTTTGGCAATGATAGGGCTTGAACTCATGGCCTCAAGCCTACTAGGCAGGCACTTTACCACAGAAGCCACACTGCTAACCCTTTTGTGCCATAGTTATTATTCTAATAGAGTCTCCCACTTTTCCCCAGCTCTGACCACAATCCTTCTATTTTCACCTCCTACATAACTGGGATGACAGGTACTTGCCACCATGCCCAGCTTTTTTGTTGAGATGGGATTGGCTGGCCTTGAACTGTGATCCTCCTGGTCTCTACCTCCTGAGTAGCTGGGATTACAGGAGTGAGCCATTACGCCCAACAGAATTGAGTTTTTTGGCAGTTCTGGGGTTTGAACTGAGAGCTTTGTGTTTAATAGGCAGGAACTCTACCACTTTAGCCAGCCCTGGATTAAATTTTTAATAGTAAGAAACTTATTTGATACAGCTATACAAAACAATACCAGAAAGTCATTACAAGCAAGTTGTAAAAGAATGTTTGAAGCAATGGAATAACTTCCCCCAAGGTATTAAGTTAAAAAGCAAGCTACAGCTGTTTAAGAGGCATGGGAGACCAAGCATGGTGGGGTACATGTGTGATCCCAGTACTTGGGAGGCTGAGCCAGGAGGATCTTGAGTTTGAAGTCAGCCTGGCAACATAGTTAGACCTCACTCAAAAAAGGAATAGAGAAGTCAAGCGTGATCCTTCATGCCTGTAATCTCACCTGCTTGGGAGGAAGACATGGGAGGACCAAGGTTCCAGGCCAACCTGGGCAAAAGCATGAGACTGTAACTGAAAAGAAAACTTAAAAAACAAAAAGAATTGAGAGTGTGGCTCAATTGGTAGACACTTTCATAGCATGCATGAGGTCCTGGGTTTAATACCCAAAACCAAAAAAATAGAACAGTTTTTCTGAAACTATTTTAACTTAAAAGTTACTTGCATAAATAAGGGGGAAATATTGGAAGGATATAAACAAAGTGTTAATAGATTAAATGAATGGTGAGATACAATATTTTCTTATCTATGTCTTCTAAATATTCTGTAATGAACATATACTTTTCAATAAGAAAAAGTGAGGTAAGCATGGTGCACACCGTAATCCCAACCCTCAAAAGGTAGAAGTAGGACCCTCTTGAAGTCCAGACAGCCTATGCTACATAGCGAGACCCTGTCTCAAAAACCAAGAGCTGGGGATGTAGCTCAGTGTTAGAGTACTTGCTTAGTATGTGCAAGGCCCTGGGTTTGAGTCCTGGTACCACAAAAAAAAATGAGGACAAAAACACAAGGATCATTTTTCAGTTGAACTTGTTAAACTAGCATATACATTTATCTAGGGCTGCTAAAAGTCTATCTAGTTTCTGTGAAAACTTAAACAGTGCAAAATTAGGACACCAGGAACCTCACCCTGTCTGTGCCAAAGCACATACTTAAAACAGTCCAGAATTCCCACTAACTGGAACTGAATGAAAAGCATGAAGTAATTATCTACCCTTGTCCTGGGCCAACACCCAAGGTAATAATGCAGAGTAAGAGTTCTTTATACCTTTACAAATTTTCAATCTATGCCATCCACTGGGCTGGGAGAATTCTCATCACTCACCACCAGAGGGACCCTTAGCTCCTCTGAAACAGTATTCTCAGTATAGAGTTTGATAGCTCAGAGAACTCAGAGCTGCCTTCCAAACTACTTCAAAAAAAATTTAGACTTTTTAAAAGATGGAGAAAACTGAGTTGTACAGGACAACCAAGGATAACTGTGTAAACCCAAGTGTAGGACACATTAAAAAACTCCACAGGCGTCAGTGGCTTGTGCCTGTAATCCTAGCTACTTGAGAGGCAGAGATCAGGAAGACTGGTTCAAAGCCAGCCCTGGCAAATAGTCTGTGAAATCCCATCTCCAAAATAAGTGCATGCTTAAACAGCCCAGAATTCCCACTAACTAGAACTGAATGAAAAGCATGAAGTAATTAATTACCCTTGTCCTTGGCCAACACCCAAGGCAATAATGCAGAGTAAGAGTTCTTAACCTATACAATGCATCTGTGCACTTCTTGCACGCACTTGCAAGCACTTTACCACTGAGTCACACCTCCAGTCCCTGTTGTACATTTTAAATGGCTCTAATTATTGGAACTAATATAGCAACGCCAAAGGAAGACAGAATGTGCTCTTTACAAGAAAATATACACTGGGGTTGTTGGATGGGAACACTTAACTGTTTTGGGTGAGGGGAGAAAAAGGGTCCTTAGAGGAAACAACAAGATGTCAAAAATAAATATAAATCAACCACCATATCTGCAAACAGCTGGCCTTGAGAAAACATAGAAATCTTTGTATTTTGGAAAGGAGCTTTTTGTTCAAAATGTTTCAAAAGACCATGAGAATGGCAAAGGTGTTTTGTCTTCAAATAAAAGTACATGTTTTGTTTGTTTGTTTTTGCAGAACTGGGGCTTGAACTCAGGGCCTACATCTTTTTTTTGTGATGGGTTTTTTTTTTTTTAAGATAGGGTTTCGTGAACTACTTGCCTGGGGTGGCTTCAAACCACCATCCTCCTGATCGTATGTGTGCGCACACTTCCACAGTACGAGAAGCAGACTGTCAGTCCACGGTGGGTCTAGGTACCCTCATCCCTTTAAAGTGACTCATGCAATTCTAGCCACTTGGCTGAGATCTGGAGGATTGAAGTTCGAGGCCAGCAGGGGGAACTAGTTCATGAGACACCCCCCACCCGCCTCCATCTCCAAAATAACCACAGCAAAATGGACTGGAGGTGTGGCTCAAGCAGTACACCGCCTGCTTGGCAAACGCGAAGCCCTGAGTTCAAAACCCGGATCCCACAATAGATAAAGTTACTCAAGATTTTTCCGGTCTTCAAACTCGAGGGAAACGGGATTCCAGCATTAAGCTGGGACTCAAGTGGAACATCGCTCACTTTCTTCCCGGCCTGTTCGTCCACCAGCGCCTCCTCAGGGAGAAACAACGCGGGGGGAAATACTACCAGCTCGGCCCACTTCCCTGAGACCTGAACCCCAACTCCGGGCTGCGCCGCACCCCAGCCCGCGAAGCTCCGCGCCACCGCCTGCCCCGCCTCCTCTTTTCCCGCCGGGCGCCGGCCTTCCGGAAATGGGCGTGGCCCGCAGGACGTTAACGCGTTGCAGGAAGAAGGTCCTCTGGTTCCGGTGTCATGGCTGGCCCTTCTGAAGGTGCGCCTGTGGCTCCCGACGGGAAGAGGCAACAGTTCGGGAGCCGGTTCCTGACCGACCCGGCGCGCGTCTTCCACCACAATGCCTGGTAACTGCCCTCCCCTCGCGTGGCCTCAGCTCGCTGCGTCCGTCCCGCCGCTTCCACGCGCCCCGAGACGCCCCCTGACCACCGGCCGCGAATCCAGCTGCCCCGGCCTAGCGCTGCCCTCCCCAGCGAACGGCGCCGCGGGGCCAGCGACTCACCCTGCCCGCAGCTGGGACGCGGGCCCCTAAGCTGCCCGTTTGGTTTTCCCAGGGACAATGTGGAGTGGTCGGAAGAGCAGGCCGCGGCGGCAGAGAGGAAAGTGCAGGAGAACAGTACCCAGCGGGTGTGCCCCGAGAAGCAAGGTGGGCCCTCGAGTACCGGGGGCTCGTCCCCGAGAGGCTGGAGAGCCGCGCCCGCCGAGATCCTTTGTCACTGGCCCGAAGTAGAACGCGAGGGGGAGGGGACCAGCGAAGAGGGAAAGGGGCTGCTTTCCCCAAAAGCTTGGGGGCTTAGCAGGTGTTTTGGTTTTAGGGGTTTTCGCGGTCTTTATTTGGGGAGGGTAGCTTTGCCTTTATTATTTTCTAGTGATTGAATTTTTAGTCATGAAGGCTAGACCCTTACTGATGTGGTTGAACTATGGCAACCGTGTGGTCACGTGATGATCTCAGATGCTGTACTGTCTACATGAGTTACACTTTGCTCGACAGTTGCTATTGAAGGTAGATTTAAGTGAAAAGATTTTAAATATCGAGTGGAGAGGAGGTTAACTAGTGATTGTGAGTCTTCCTTGAGTGACGGGTTTGAGGATTTAGGACTTCTGCGGATGGATGAAGCTGTGTGGGGATAAGCCTGGTTAAAGAAAAAGAGGTCCCTCTGGAAGAGGATAAATTCACTGTAAAATATCCCTAGAGACTAAATCCAAGACTGGTTGGTCCTGTGTCCCAAGAGACAATTGAAAGAACCAGAAATCTGATAGTAATTCCACTGAAAGAGTTCTATACAATAAGATTCCCGTTACAAAATATTCGCCCTGCATAGTTTGACAGAGACAACATAAAGCAATGTGGAGTTGAAAGGGATTTTGAAAATCCTGTAGCCCAGTATTTTTTTACAGTTAAAGAAACTAGCCAGGCACAGTAGCACACATCTGTAGTCCTAGCTACATGGGAGGGTGAGGCAGGAGGATCACTTGAGTCCAGGAGTTCTCCCACTTGGGAATGTGGCCCAAGTGGGAGAACACTTGGCTATCATGTGCAGTGCCCTCAGTTCAATCCCCATTGTAAAAAAAGAGAGACTTGGACTATAGGACATTAAGTGCTTTGCCCTGCTACTCAGGAGGCAGAGACCAGGAGGATCATGGTTCGAAGCCAGCCCTGGACAAATAGTTTGCAAGACCCTATCTCAGAAACACTCATCTCAAAAAAGGGCTGGTGGAGTGGCTCAAGGTGTAGGCCCTGAGTTCAAATTCCAGTACTGCAAAAAAAAAAAAAAGAACCCTCACCTGCAGACTGTTTTGCATTGCCTATTTTCCTTTCAATCTTGTTTCCATTTTCACTATATTAGTAATACTGAATTCATCATTGAGCTCCACATACAAAAGAACCACAGACAGGAACATACTTAAAGTAAGAGCCACTTGGAGTTGAGCTCCACATACAAAAGAACCACAAACAGGAACATACTTAAAGAAGAGCTGCTTGGAGTTGGGTGCTGATGGGTCATGCCTATAATCCTGTCTAGTCTACTTGAGAGACTGAGATCAGGCGGCTCATGGTTCAAGCCCATCCTGGGCATATAGTTCATGAGACTCCATCTCCAAAATAACCAGAGCAGAATGGACTGGAGGTGTGGCTCAAGTGGTAGAGCGTCTTCCTTGTAAGCATGAAGCTCTTGAGTTTAAACCCCAGTCTCACCAAAAAAAAAAAAAAAAAAAGATGCTTGGGTGATAATCATTGCATTTACATGAGCAACCAAAAGAACCTGAGACATTTAGTTTTAGCAAAAGAAAATCTTTAGAGGGGAAAATAACTGCCTACAAATATAAAAAAAAAAAAGTTGGTTTGTATGGCCCAGAGAAATATCTTTTGACTGGAAGTAATTGGACATGTTTTTGTCCAGACTTATATATAATGTGTGTGTTACTAGGGATTTGCTTAATTCTCCAATAGTCAAGGGCCATCCAAAGATGTTGAAGAATGATAGGTAGTAAGTTCCCTGTCTAATGGTTCAGGAAGAAGTAAGGCTCCCTGGAAATGAGAACTAGAGGACATTAACGTAAGATAATAGATGGCAGGACTAAATTAGTAGGCAGAAGTGCCTTTAGCTCTGAAACTAGCTCTACTTGAGAATGCTTTCAGTACAAAATGACATTTGGTGAAGTAAAATAATTAACATTGGATATAAGTAAAATATATCTAGAGACTAATTCTTAAAATTCTTAAATATTTACAGTTGATTATGAAATCAATGCCTGTAAGTACTGGAATGACTTCTACAAAATTCATGAAAATGGGTTTTTCAAGGATAGACACTGGCTTTTTACCGAATTCCCTGAGCTGGGACCTAGCCCAAACCAAAATCACATGAAGGATTTTGCCTTGGAAAACAAGAAGAGTGAAATCCCTGAATGTAGAAGCAGTGATAATGGACCTGGTTTAACAATAAAAGAGCATCAGAAGTGTTCTCCCAGCCTTGAGCATAAAAAACAGATGCTTCCTATGGAAGAAAATGTAACTCAGAAACTCAGTCGCCTGGAAATTTGTGCTGATGAGTTTGCTGGATCCTCAGCCACGTACCGAATACTTGAGGTAACCTTTTATTGTCCTGGTGATGCAGTTAGTGAAGCTGTTACATCGTGCACATGAAATAGATAGAAAGGCTAACCCAAAAATGTGTTCTATGTGGTAAAGCTGACTTCTATTGCCCTGGAATCACTTCCGTTATTTGAATTGCGAAAGTGCGTAGGTGAGTACCATAATGGAAATTCACAAATAGAGGACTATCCACCCCACTGGAAGCTGATTTGGGAGCTGGTTCGAAGGATTGAGTCTCTTGCTATGATCTATATGGTACTGGGGATCAAACCCAAAGCCTTGTACATGTTAGGCAAGTGCTCTACCACTGAACTGTACTCCTGGTACTCTGTGGTGTGATCTTAGATAAGCCCCTTTTCTTCCAGCTTACTGGCCTCATAGTTATTAGGCCATTGAGATAATGTATGTCAAATAACTAAGAACAATGTCTGGTACATGGTAAGCACTCAAATAAATGGATGCTGTTTTTATTATCACACACACCACCTATTTAGGATAGGGTTATTACCATGGTCCCCTTTTGTGAATTTTTCAACTCGGTCTGCTTTTCCAATAATAGTATAGGAAAGCTCAGTAAGAAAATGTTTTAGCTGGAGCACCATTTGCTATAACTCAAGTAGAAGAGGCAGCCTATGTCCTTTTTCTAGACCAGTTCATTCTGCTAATGAAATGCCCTGCTCCTGTTTTTTATGGTATATCTTTTCAGGGTCCATGAGGTCAGGATTGGAGAATTTCATGGTCTTTAGCTCTGGTCACTACACCTTCCCTAATACAATTAGACAGGATTATTTATTGTTGGTTATTGGTTATTTAAATTAATACTTTAATTAAGGATAGGGTATAGTGACACCTATAATCCCAGGACTACAGAGACTGAGGCAAGAGAATCATGACTTGGAGACCAGCCTAGGCTAGGCTACATAGTAAGACCCTGTCTCAAAAAAAAAAACTTTGATAGTATTAATAGCTATTAATTTCTATCTTCAGGTCGGTTGCGGTGTGGGAAACACAGTCTTTCCAATTCTGCAAACTAACAAGTAAGTATGTTGTCAAGTTTGTCTTCATGACAGCAGAGAGGTAGATTATAAGGAGTTTGAATGTCTACATTATCCATTTATGGGTTGTTTTAGTTTAACTTGATGTAGTTAGTTTAATTTGATGTCAGGGAAATTAGTGAAATTTAAAACCTGCTGCAGCATTAATATATAGTACTTTCCACTACAGTGCTTAAAAACATGTTTGTGTTCTATTTCTGTTCTCTCCTGAGCTCTGTGAAGAAGTCAGTGGCTAAGCTGTCATTGCTCCCATTGACCTACATGAAAGTGTCTCCAATTCAGATGAAAACACACTGCTTCTGTACTCCTGCACATAGAACACTTCTGATACCAGATATATGGAGGTTTCCCCACACTGGCCAAATCTCCACCACCAGCCAGGTGCCCTGCAATTCAATTCTGAGACTGTCTACCTAGAGTAAACATCAAATCCCACAAGTTAAGGACCTATCCCCATTAGACTATCCCCACTTCAAATGCTAATTGCAAATTTGGGCCTCCCACACTTCTAACTGTGGGCTATTAATTATATCAGGAGTCCCACACCCCCTCTTGGGTTTGATAATTTCCTGGAGTTGCTCATAGAACTCAAGGAAATACTTTACCTTTGCATGATAATTATATAGGGTATTATAAAAGAGAGATACAGGATAAGGTCTGAAAGTTCCAGAATTGAGGACTAGACCCCATGGGATATACCTTCCTTACCAGTACCCTCCAGCCTGAGGGTGTGTTCGCAAACCCATAAGCTCAGCAGGAGTCTTTACAGAACTTGGTCTCCATCCCCTTCCTGGAAGGATGGTAGAGAGCAGTGAAAATTGGAACCCTCTTATCACTTGATACTTTTTGCTGGCCTTCCTGAGAATACCTATAGGCCCCACTCCAAGTTACCTTGTTAACATAAATTCAGTTTGATTTCAAAAGGACTTTACAAATAACAAAAGACTAGTAGGTCACTCAAGAAATTTGTATAATTTTTATTTATTTACTTTTTTGGTTGGGTGAGCAGGGGAGGAGAGACGAGGAATGCTGGGGATTGAATTCAGGGCCTCTCACTTGCTAAGCAGGCACTCATCGCTTGAGCCGCTCTACCAGCCCCTGCCAGCCCTCTTAACTTTTTTTTGATAGTGAATTCTGAAGTTAGACATTTTATATTTTGATGTCTTCTGAATAGTGTCTCATAATTGAAAGCAATTTTAGTAGTTATTAATATCAACTTAATGCTTTTTATATTACTAGCTTGTGTTAGGACAATAAAAATGTAATGGAGGGGGTGAACTTGTTCAAGTTACACTTTACACAGGTATGGAGTTATCACAATGAAATCCCCTCATTAATATATGATAAATCAAAAAGAACATTGGGAATAACAAAGTAAACAGAGGGGTTTGCCATTCCTTTTTGTCTCCCCCACATTTAGGATAATAACCAACACATTGTGAACCTTCCATGAGTATTTGGTGAATGAGTAAGTACGAGATGTGATCTCTGTTGTCATACCACTCCATATGGTGGGAGCAGGCAGGCAGACACAATTGTGTTCCTAGCATGGAACTAGAGCCATGGACCTCAGAGAGAACATGCAGGAGTGCTCATGGTGCCATATAGCAGGACTTGATAAGAAGCCAAAACAAGATTTCTATAGGTGGAGAAAGAGAAAAAGACATTGTTCTGAAATTCGCTGATTGTTTGATGAACTTAGTATTAGCCATATCTGTAGAGATTAAATGGGATATAGATTTTTTTTTTTAAGGATCTTAACCAAATTGTAATATGTTGTGACAGACAGGTACATGTTCTTTGAGCCTGTAAGTATTTTTTTGCCATTTGATGTTCTAACTCTGCTATACTAGATGTAATCCAGTTTGTAACCTAATTATCCTGTCATTTTTTTCTGCCCATTTCAGTGACCCAGGCCTCTTTGTTTACTGTTGTGATTTTTCTTCCACAGCTATAGAACTGGTCCAGGTAAGTACAGTGACTCGTACCAGTAATTTTCAGTGATTAAAGGAAAAGGGGTCTCCTAAAAATCAAGGCACTAATTGTATTCTTTTTTAAAAGGAAAAGATTCACTGAAACAGACTGGAAAAGATGTCATACATCAAGCCAAGCAGCTGGCTGGTGATAATCTTGCTGCCCCATCCTTCTGTCACATCACCCTCAAGTTCAGGGTGCTGATCTCATTACCTGGTGCCCATTTGTTTGTTTGTTTGTTTTTTTCAGACCAGCTTTCTCCAATTTTGTGCTTGACCCAGACCTTCTTGCCCCTCCCAGTCCTATCTAAGTCTGCCCAGTTCAGGTGTTCACGGAATCTCACCAGAAAGACTCCCAATTCCAGAATCCTAGGAAACAGTCTGGGCCACTGAGCCCAGCTGATCAGTCAGCTCACTTGCCTCTTTGATTCATCTGTTGTCAATGAAAAACAAAGTTACAGTTTGGAGAAAAAGAACATGGATAGGGATGATGCTCTAAAATGTCATTATTATGCATGACGCTCCTAGCGTAGGAGTAAAGGAACTGGTAGTTCTGTCTTTCAGAAGTAAGTTCATTCTTATAACTCTGGCCAAGATGAAAACTGAGAATTATCTTTACTTAATTTTATGATACCAAAATATAGGTTAAATTTTCTACATCTTAAAAAAAATTTTTCCTGAATAATTCTATGGTTGTAATATTCTATAGTTAGGAGTTTATTTTGTCTTTCTGCTTATGAAGTTTCTTTTTTTATTTTTTACTGGGAGTTGAACTCAGGGCCTAAACTTTGAGCCCCTCTACCAGCCCTTTTTTGTGATGGATTTTTCTGAGATAGGGTTTCTCAAACTGTTTGCTCAGGCTAGCTTCAAACTGAGATCCTGATCTCTGCCTCCTGATGACAGGCATGAACCACCAGCGCCTATCAGCTTATGAAGTTTCTTGTTGGTCACTTGCTTTCCTGATCATTCTCTAATCTTCAGATCTGACTTCATGCATGGGAAGTATAGAAAGTACATCAAAAGAAAGAATAAAGCCGGGTACTGGTGGCTCACTTCTATAATCCTAGCTACTTGAGAGGCTGAGATTAGGAGGATCATGGTTCAGGAGATCGCCATCTCCAAAATATTCAGAGCAAAATGGACTGGAGGTGTGGCTCAAACAGTAGAAGTGCCTGCTTCACCAGTGTGAAGCCCTGAGTTCAAACCCATCCTACCAAAAAAGAACGAAAGAAAGGAAGGGAAGGGGAGAAAGAGAAGGGAGGAAGAGAGGAAAGGGTTGGTGGTACATGCCTGTAACACCAGCAGACCTGAGTTCAGACCCCAGTCTTAAGGGAGAAAGAAGGGAAGGAGGGAGGACAGGGGAAAAGAAAGTAATACTGGGCTGGTGGCATATGTCTGTAACCCTAGCACTTGAGAGACTGAGGCAGGAGGATTGCAAGTTCAAGGCCAGCCTTGACTACATAACAAGACTCAAAAAAGAAGGAACCAGGCATGTGGGGTTTTTGTTATTTTTTGGGGGGGTGGGGTTAGGGTCTGTTATGTTTTGTTTTTGTGGTGCTGGGGATCAAACCTAGGGCTTTGTGCATGCTACGCAGTGCTCTATCCCCAGCCCTGGATTCTTGTTTGTTTTTGGTGGTACTAGGGTTTGAACTCAGCCTCATGAATTAAGCTGTGCCACTTGAACCACATCCCCACAGCCCTTTATTTTTCAGATAGTATCTCACATTTTTTTACCTGGGGCTGGCCTCAGACCATAAATCTATAGCCTCATACCTAGCTGGAGCCACATGCACATGTCACCATACCTGGCTTATTGATTAAGATAGAAATCTTGCCGACTTGTTTTTGCCCAGGCTGGCCTCAAACTCAAAATCATCCTCCCTGTGGCTCTCAAGTTCTGAAATTGGAGGTGTGTACCACTATACTTGCAGTAATGTTCCCTTTTTAAGGTACCAGTTAGATTCCACAGGGTCTTCCCTAGGTGGTTCTAATTCTGTGAATATCCCTAGAAAACCTCATGCTGTGGTGATTAGAAATGAGTCCCTCTGCTGTGAGTAGCAGCAGTGACAGCAAAGAACACAAGCTGCTCTCCGGGCAGTGTGCACATTTTCTGACCCATTTGTCTCCCCTCCTATCTGCAGACAAATTCAGCATATGATCCTGCCCGCTGTTTTGCCTTTGTTCACGATCTGTGTGATGAAGACCAGAGTTACCCAGTCCCTCAAGACAGCCTTGATGTCATCGTTCTCATATTTGTTCTTTCAGCAGTTGTTCCAGACAAGTAAGTTTTAGGTACCACAGCCAGTAGTCTAACAAAGACAAAGCTTTGGACAAAGACCATGAATTATGGTTGGATCCTAAATAAAAAGGATTTTCATTAGGTTCTAATCACCATGAACAAACCACACATCGACAGTCTTTGATGTTCACCTTCCGTTTTCAGCCTCTAACCTTCCACCTGGTATCAGGAAACATCTCATTATTAGTCTTAAATGCTTGAAATAAAAGTAAAATGTTTTGTTTAGTTTCTGAGTAGTGGTACCGGGGTTTAAATTCAGTTCCTTATGCTTGCTAGGCAGGTGCTCTACCACTAGAGCCATGCCTTAGCCCTTTACAATTTGATTATTATTTTTGATATAGGGTCTCACATTTATGCCCAGGCTGGCCTGGACTACAATCCTCCTATTTAAGTTTTCCTGAGTAGCTGAAATGACAGGCACATGCCACTGCACCCAGCTTTTATTGGTTGAGATGGGGCGGGGGCGGGGGGGGGTCTCAAGAATTTTTTGCCTGGCTGACCTCAAACTGCAGTCCACCCAATCTCCACCTCCTGAGTAGCTAGGATTACAGGTGTGAGCCACCACACCTTGCAAAACAAGGCTATTAATAACAAAATTTATGTTGAAGGTCAACTGGCATGTCCTCTGAAATACAGAATTTCATAAAACTAGGTTTATGCTATACCATAAAAGATGCCATTAAAACTTCATGTGCAGGGGAATAGGAGTATTACCATGTGAGAGGCCCTGGGTTCAGTCCCTGAACTATGAAAGAGTAAAGAACCAAGTGCAATAGTGCATGCCTGTAGTCCCAGCTACTTGGGAGGTTGAGGTGGAGGGATCACTTGAGCCCAGGAGTTCAAGGCCAGCCTGGCCAACATAGCAAGACTAAAAACAAAACCTCGTTTGTTCCAGGCAGCCAGTAGTCCTGTGAAACTGCTGTTCCAAGGAAGCAGAGTCAGAAAGAAGGCTAAGGGATTCAGGCTCCATCAACTTTTCCAAAGAAGCCCTTGACCCTGCCTGACTCCAGTGAGTCAAGAGGCAAGAAGTTTGGCATGTACCAATGTTTGGGCAGAACACACCCCTGAAATCATGATCTTGGTATAGATTCAGAGACCTCAAACATCTACTCTGAACATCCAAGCTAATGGATGATGAGGCAGTTAGTGTTAGAGGACAAAGTAAGCGGGTGTCAGAACACCACATCACTTGACAAGATAACAAGGACCAAGTGCTAGCTCCATAGGGCAGGAGCTTTAAGTGACAGTCTTCTAGCCCAACTCTCTTCAGTTAGCTTTGAAGTCCTCTGACCTGACAGAGTAATTGTGAGACTTTGAGATGGTTTTTAGAAGTTTGTAGCTTGTATACTTTAGAAGTATAATCCTGGACCAAGACTTTTGGAGTCTCCTGAATCAACCTTCTGTCACTATAACAAATACTGAGATAACAAGATTAATAAAGAAAAAAGGTTTATTTTGGCTCATGTTTTAGAGGTTCCAGTCCATGATTGGTTGGCTTTTAGGCCTGCAGCAGGATGGTGGGAATCTGTGGCTGAGAAGAAAAACTCCCCTAATAACCAGAAGGTGAAAACAGGAAGAGGAAGGCACTAGGATCCCCAGTCGCCTTCCATGGCTTGTCCCCAGTGACCTAAAGACTTCTTACTAGGCCCCATCTCTTAAAAGTTTTCACCACCTCCCAGTTGCACCACACAGGCACCAGACCTTGAGCTTATGGGCCTTGGGGGGCATTGCAGAGTCAGGGAAGAATGCAGTCGTAATTGTGAAGCACTCCATCTGTGGTACTCACTCACATGCTGATTGTTCACCACATAAACTGTAAGGGTGGTTGTTTGTGGGGGTCAGGATCTTGTTAAGAGCTCAGGCTGGCCTGGAACTCATGATCCTCCTGTCTCAGCCTCTGAGTGCTAGGATTGCAGGCAGGCATCACCACACCCAGCAACTGTTAAGTTCTTGAAAACAAGTCTTCATTTAAGAAACACACAGTCTGCATTGATAGAGCTCAGGTCTAGTAGGGCAGCTGAGTCACTAGCAGTTCCCACAGTGGATAGTCATAGAGGCACTGAGCCAGTTGAAGAACATGAGGCATTTACCACCATGGAGCCCCACAACAGAGCAGGTTGTCCTGGGGTCTCTTCTGACAGAATAAAGGCCAGAGGAACTGCGTTTCCATGTTGGTATGTCAGTTAGGAAGTCTGTGGCTTCTTGGAATATGCTACAAGGAAAAGGAACCCTGTCCCTAAGAAGACCTAATCTTCATTTCCTGCCCCACAGGATGCAGAAAGCTATCAGCAGGCTGAGCAGACTTCTGAAGCCTGGAGGGATGATGCTTCTGCGAGATTATGGCCGCTATGACATGGCTCAGCTTCGGTTCAAAAAAGGTATTTTGCCACTGTAATCAACTCGAAATACATGTTAGTGGAAAGAAACTCCAGAATTAGAGCCATTTTTTGGAAGATTATTTAAGAGGTTTGTAAAATCTAGGTATTAAGATCTTTTAAAAGCCAGGTGCTGGTGATCACAATTGTAATCCTTAGAAGGCAGAGATCCGGAGGATCTCAGTTCAAAGCCAGCCTGGGCAATTAGTTCTCAAGACCCTATCTTGAAAATACCCTTCACAAAAAAGGGCAGGTGGAATGGTTTAAGGTATAGGCCCTGAATTCAAATTCCAGTACCACAAAGAAAAAAGATCTTTTAAAGTTAACTGCTTTAGAAGAGCTATATTTAGACATTTAATTACATAAATTGTAATTTTCATTTAGAGGTTAGAAGAGAGGCCAGACATGGTTCTTATGCCTATAAACCTGGTACTTGGAGACTAAGATTGGGAGACTGAGGTTCAAGGCCAGCTCAGACAAATAGATCGAGAGACCCCCCATCTCCAAAATAACCAGAGCAAAATGGACTAAAGGCATGGCTCAAGTGGTAGAGTGCCTGCTTTGCAGGCCTGAAGCCCTGAGTTCAAACCCCAGCCCCACCAAAAAAAAGATCCATGACCCATCCAAAAAAAACAAGCTATTCACAAAAGAGCATATTTAAATGAGCAATAGGTAAAACTTCACAGAGAGAAAAATAAAAAGAGAATCCTTAATGCTATTGCTGTCCAATTCAAAGAAAGAGGTACACTCCTCCATGTCTAGTGGAAATATTGTTACAACCTTTTTAAGCACCCTGGTATTGTTTATTCAATCCCGTGGTCTTTGGGGAAATCATTCACCAGCATAATATATATACAAAATCACAACTGAATGCTGTGGATAGAGTGACGTGTGCTGTCCCTAAGATGGTCAAATCATTGGTCTTAGAGATTTCCATTCTGTATCACTATGTGAGAAAACCAATGACTACGTGATTATTTAAACCTGATCCTGTAAATAGCAGTCCCTGGAAGAAAATGTGATTGTATATACATTCAGGAAGGTGTAGAAGGATTATATGCCAGGGTGTAAAACCAGTGGGATTAACAGTGTGCACAATAAAAACAATATGAGTTGTCACATAGATAAATGTGCATATGTACATAAGGAGAGATGTGCAAGAGAACAGTCACCAGAATTGTTACGGTGACTCTGTATGCTTTTATTAAACTCAGTTTTGCTGCTTGGTTATTTTTCTTTTTCTTTCTTTTAATCATCCTATTACAGCTGTACTGAGGATACATTGTAACATTTACAAAAGTGCTTACAATATTTCTTGGGTCAAATTTAATCAGGGAGGTGAAAAAATAATGTTTTTTTTTTTAATCAAAGAATTCTAAACACAGAGCTAAGAATCACATGAACCTTACGTTGAAGCCCCCCACAGAGCTGCTCTTCTCCAAAGCTCTATTCCTTTGTGGGAGAGAAATTCACATTCCTGCAAATTAGCAGGTGTCACAAGAAAGGAGTCTGTTCTCCACCTGAGAATTCTGTATTCATGAATAGTCTATTAGAGATGAAACTCAAAAAGGTGATTAACCCTTTTTCTGATTATTATCATGCCATTCTCTAGGTCAGTGTCTCTCTGGAAATTTCTATGTGAGAGGTGATGGTACCAGAGTTTACTTCTTTACACAAGGTATGAAAAAGATCATCTTTTTGCTAAAGGTATCCAAAATAACAGGTCAGATAAGTGGCCTTCCTTGTACTTTCAGAAGGAAGATCATGTGGCCCCTCTACCTTGCAGGCTGCCTTTCTTCTGCGAGTCCCCTTCCCTCACCCTGAACCTCACTGTCCCCAGACAACCCTGGCTCATGATGGTCTTCAGTCCACTCCTTGCTCTGCTCTCCCTTTCTGTCATTTTGTCCAAAATGGGAACCTCACCTTTTTGCAAGACTCATCTCCAGCCTGGCCTGACTCACCATCTCCACCAGACTGGGCCCAGGGTGAATTGTTTCCGCTGGCTCCAGGTCTGATCTAAAGCTGTTCTCCTCTATTGCCTGCTCTGTCCACAAACTGTGTCCTCCACAGTGCTTTGGGATACTCTGTTCCTGGGCCACGTACTTTAAGCCTTTGGCTAAACCAATAAAAGTTCTTTCCTAAAACACCGCTGTGATATCTACCTATGTAGATTTTTACATACAATTTTTGTTTTGTTTTGTTTTTTTGTTTTGGAACAGGGTCTCACTATGTAGCCCAGACTGGCCTTGAATTTACAATCCACCTGCCTCATGCTCATGAGTGCTGTAATTACAGCTGTGTACCACCATGCCTAACTAAATATTCATATATAATTAAATATAATTTTAAGGAATTTTTAGAGCCCTGCAGAGGCTTTTTTTTAAATAACTAAATATCTTCTCTTTCCAAACCAGATGAGCTGGACACACTTTTTACTACTGCAGGACTGGAAAAGGTGCAGAACCTGGTGGATCGCCGATTGCAAGTGAACCGAGGAAAACAGCTGACCATGTACCGAGTCTGGATTCAGTGCAAATACAGAAAGCCTCTTATGCCCAACACCAGCTGAGAGGCACCTGCTCCTGACATGGCACAAGCTCTTTCTGTTTCAGGGCTTTTTTCTAAGAGCATCCATAAATGGTGCTTGCCAATGTTGGATAGTTTAATAATTCAAACAAAGCCAGGCACACTGGTGGCTCATGCCTATAATCCTGGCTACTTAGGAGGCTAAGATTGGGAGGATCATTTCGAGACCAGCCTGACCTCCATCTCCAAAATAACCAGCACAAATGGACCAGAGATGTGGCTCAAGTGGTAGAGCACCCACTTTGTAAGCACAAAGCCCTGAGTTCAAATTCCAGTACCAAAAAAAAAAAAAAGATCCTAATTCTAAACCCACAAAAAAAATACTTTTTATCAAGATCAATGATTGTTTTTTATTTGTAAAGCCTATTAATATATACTTTTCTCAAGTTCTTTGTGTTTTCAATCTGCCTTGATATTTTGTAACAATAACTGATAAATTTTAATAACAAATTTTGTACATAGGAATAACAAATTTAAAAACAAGGATTGGGCCAGTCACGTGGCTCATATTGTTATCCCAGCTACTTGGGAGACAGAAATCAGGAGGAAGACAGTTTGCGTCTAACACAGGCAGAAAATGAGACCTAGCACAACCAATAAAAATGCTGGATATAGCCGGGTGCTGGTGGCTCATGCCTGTAATCCTAGCTATTCAGGAGGCAGAGATCAGGAGGATTGTGGTTCAAAGCCACCCCAGGTAAATAGTTCCACGAGACTCTATCTCAAGAGCTGGTGGAGTGGCTCAAGGTGTAGGCCCTGAGTTCAAGCCCTGGTACCACAAAAAAAAAAGTTGATGTGGTGGGACGTACCTGTCACCCCAGCTATACCAGTAGGCATAAATAGGAGGATGACTGTCCAGGCCAGCCCAGCCAGAAATGAGAGACCCAATTCAAAAAATAGCTAAAGCAAAAAGGACTGGAGATGTGGCTCAAGTGGAAGGGCATCTGCCAAGCAAGCACAAGGCCCTGAGTTCAAACTCTAGTACTGTAAAAAAAAAATAATAATAACAAGGATTGCCTGGGATGTAGCTCAATGGTAGAGTGCATGCTTAGCATACACAAGGCTCTGGAGTTTGATTGCCAGCACCAAAAAAAAAAAAAAGAGAATTTATTCCCATGTGAAAATGTTACATACGACTAGTGTTAATTGACTATAAATTGCATTAAATTATTTGAGAATTCCAACATCCAGGCTGGAGCAATTGCAGTTGATACATACAAAGATGACTGAAGGTTTTTGGTTTTTTTGGTACTAGGGTTTGAATGCTTGCTAGGCAAGCATTCTACCATTTGAGCCACTCCACCAGCCCATGGGTCTCTTAAATCATGGGGAAACAAGTGACACAAACCTGCAACCCCCATATTCAGGAGGCTGAGGCAGAATTTCAAGTTCAAGGCCAGTCAGGGCTACATAGCAAGACCCTGTCAAAAAAAAGAAAGCAGGATGCTGGTGGCTACGCCTATAATTGTAGCTACTCAGGAGGCAGAGGCAAGAGAATTGAGGTTTGAAGCCAGCCTGCATAGTTCATGAGAACTTATCTCTTAAAAAACACGTCACAAAAAGGGCTGGTGGAGCAGCTCAAGGTGGAAGCCCTGAGTTCAAGCCTCCGTACCACAAAAAACCAAAATGGTATCCTTGATAAGTAATTTCTCTAGGGCTCCACTTTAATTCTCTGGAATTTTAAGCACTGTTCCCCATCTAGTTGTCTAAAGAATTAAAAGTTTATTTGCTTTTAGAAAAAATTGTCTTTGGTGCTCCTAAATGTTTGACACAAAAGGAATAGAACTTACTGATGTTAGCCGCATCACTTCCCTTGTGAACACACACGTCGTCCATGTGATTATCACTTTTACCTCTTCCCTCTTGATAATCATGGTTAGAGGGAATATTCTTAATTTTAGCAAACAAGGAGTTCTCAGTTCTTCATACCCACCTCTTAGATTTTACCTTAATGTTCTTAATAGTCTTACAATTATTTTATTATTGTACCTATGCATGTGAATATATTTTTGGGGGGTGGGCAGCACTGGGATTTGAGCTCAGCCTCACATTTGGTAAGCAGGTGCTCTACCACTTGAGCCACTTGCCAGCCTATATTTTTCTTTTTAAATACTTGAAATTTCAGAAAATGGGGACACTTTCCATAAGGAATAAACTGAGAAAAGAACTTTTTAAGAATCAAGGGTGACTCACACCTATAATCCTTGCTAATTGGGAGGATCTCAGTTTGAGGCCAGCCTGGACAAATAGTTCTTGAGACTCCATCTCCAAAATAACAAGAGCAAAATGGACTGGAGGCATGGCTCAAGTGGTAGAGCACCTGTTTTGCAAGCACAAAGCCCTGAGTTCAAACCTCAGTGCTGAAAAAAGACTCAGTGGTCACTGTATGCCCTGGGTTCAATCCAGAACAAAGGGGCTGGCAAGGTGGCTCACATGGTATACTGCCTGCCTAGCAAGTGTAAAGCCCTGAGTTTAACTCCCAGAACTGCCACCAAAAAAAATTAAAGGAGGCATCAACTAGTATAAGAATATTGCAGATTTTTTTTTCTGAACTGAGTAAGAGTAAATTGCAAGGGAATATCCCACACCTGTGTATTTAAATTTGTAATTCTGTAATTGGAGATCTGTCTTCCCCCATCACTAAATATATCCATCACAAGTAGAAACACAGGGTGACCCAAATACCATCTACAGACCATTCACGTCTTCCTAATGTCCTCGCCATATACAAAACCCCGTTGTGTTACCATTTAATGGTTACGTCTCAGTCTCCTGCCTGAACAATTCTTCAGGTGTGCTTCCTTAACCTTGACATTTCAAGATTACAGGCTTTGTAAACTGTCAGGTTGGATTTGTTGGTGTTCCTCATGATTTGGTTCAGGTTCCACGTTGTGTGTAGGAATATCAGAAGTGAAGCAGTGTTCCTCCCATTGCACTGTGTCGTCAATCTGCCTTCTCATATCCCCACTGGTGTGCTCACTTCATTGTGTTGTCTGCTAGGTGCCTGCAGTGGAAAGTTACTGATAAGTATTCTGCAAGGAAGTACTTTGCTACTACGGCTACTCTACTCCTCATCAATGTTTCCCTATGGTTTAGAAGCTACAGCTAGATAATTCTTGGCTGAATTATTACTGTGATGATTGACACAGTGATCTCTATTTCTTTCTACATCTGTTGGTTGACGTTCTAGTATAAAGAAAAGCTCCATATTCTCCCTTTTCATTTATCTCAATTTTTTGTTTTACTCGGTTACTGGCCTCTCAGACCTCTTGACTTTTTTTTTTTTTTTTTTTTTGCGAGACTGGGTTTTGAGCTCAGGGCTTGCAAAGCAGATGCTCTACTGCTTGAGCCACACCTCCAGTCCATTTTGTTCTGATTGTCTTGGAGATGAATATTTTCCCCAGGCTGGCCTATTTCCCCAGGCTGGCCTCAAACCACAATCCTCCCGATCTCAGCCTCCCAAGTATCTAGGATTATAGGTGTGAGCCACCAGTGCCTGGTGACATCCTTTTGAGCACTTTAAACACAAATTGTTCCAGGCTCATCTTGTACTTTTTTTTTTTTTTTTTTTTGCAGTGCTAGGGTTTGAACACAGGGCCTATACTTTGAGCCACTCCACCAGCCCTGTTTTTTTGTGTTGAATGTTTTTGCAATAGGGTCTCTCGAACTGTTTGCCTAGACTGGCTTTGAACCAAGATTCTCCGGATCTCTGCCTCCTGAGTAGCTAGGATTACAGGTGTAAGCCACCAGCACTGGGCTTCATCTTGTACTTTCTATGCCCCAATCTAGAATCAGCCATTGCCCCCAGGGAATTGTAGTTGCTTTTAGTGGAGAAGTGTTTAGAAACGTAGAGCTGAACATTAAGTGTTCTCGTTGCTGGTGTGTCCCTGTTTGCAGGCTTGCTCAGTAGACAAAGCTTGCTCGTTAAGTCTTGGTGATTGTGTGTGTATACAAATACATTGAAAAGTTCAGTTTAAATCAACTCCTTTGATTCTAATCCAACACTACAAGGTTTATTCTAATTCTCCCCCTTTCTGTACAACTCCCTTTTCCAAAGGTAAGGAACCTGACTCTCCTGATCCTCAGTATATGTATCTATTGTGTTCCTCCCATCACCTGTAATGTGTCACCAATCTCCTTTTGCCACCACGTACACTCTGTCACCCCACACCAAACCACTGAACTCATCTTGCCATGATTCTCACACCCACACTACCCCTCTGACCCTGTGCTAATAACTACTTTGCTTGGCTTCACCCTATAGGTTTTTAAAGGTGGGGGAGCTGGGCATGTTGGTCACACCTGTAATCCCAACACTCAGGAGGTTAACGCAGGTAGATACAATAGTTTCAGGTCATTCAGAGCTACATAGCAAGATCCTAACAACAAAACAACAAAAAAAGCTGGGCACCAATGGCCCATGCCTGTAATCCTAGATATATGGGCAGCTGAGATCAGAATGATCACGGTTCGAGGCCAGCCTGGGAAAAACATTAGCAAGACCCCATCTTGCTGGGTCAGGTGGTGTGCACCTGTCATATCAAATGATGCAGGAGGCTGAGATCAGGAGGATCACAGTTCTAGACCAGCCTAGGCATTGCATGGCAGCCTAGCCATGGCAGGAAGCATAAAATAGAAGAATTGTGGTCCAGGCAGGCCTGGATAAAAAGTGAGACCCTGTCTCCAAAATAACCAGAGCAAAAGGGCTGGAAGTGTGGCTTAAGCAAGAGAATGCCTGTCTTGCAAGTACAAAGCCCTGAGTTCATGCCTCAGTACTGCCAAAACACACACTTTTTTAATTAAAAATAAGGTGGAGGGAAGGAAATTCCCATCTTTTCTATTACTGAATTTACATAAAACTGGAAAAGCCTGGATCACTGGAATAGCATTTCATTTATCTTTTGAAATGAAGAGTTGCTGTATTAATCAACATGATACATCAAAGACCATCCTTTGGTATCTCTAAAGCATTTCAAAGCAACAAGAACAGTTTTTATTCCCTCTTCCTGGCACCTGACATGGGCTTTGGACTGAGAAAAGATGAGCCTTTTCCTGGTCCTGCTCCCTTTTATTCCCTGCCATCTGCTAAGCTCTATGACCTTTCATCTGTCTGGCCAAGTAGAACTCTGGGAGGGACTTTGCACAATGTTTTACCTTCAGAATCACTAATGGTGGGCAGAGGACAGTCATGTGC